TCTCTCTCTCTCTCTCTCTATATATATATATATATATATATATATATATATATATATATATCAAAGATTAAAAATTACAGGCTTGATTTCTCTAATTAAAATTAAGCACTTTTTAACGCATACGATATTAACACTACTATTTTAGTCTAGTGTTTGTTTACTTCGGTGTGTGTGTATACATACATTCATATTATATATATATGTATATATATATATATATATATATATATATAATTGTGTATAAGCCAACTACATGTTCAGTGCAACCCATGAATTTTAACTACTTCTTAACTTCTTCAAAAAAATTACCTGTGTATAAAGCAGGACTATTTTTTGTGTAAAAGCTGATCATGAAAACTTGTATGATGCACAAATATATACAGTGTATGTATGTACCAGGCCATCCCATAAGTTCTGTCCGAATTTTGAATAAAGAAAGCAAGTGACCAAATGTTACATTTAATTACAGATTCAATCAACAATGTATTTTCCCTGATTATCTATGACTTCCTTCCATCTATTAGCAAGCTTACTAATTCCATTAGTGTAAAATTATTTTGGCTTTGATTCGAAGAACTCACAAATGTCAGTTTTAACCTCTTCCTGTGTTACAAAAGCTGTTTCTTCCAAATGATTCTGTAAGCTACGAAACAAATGGTAGTCGGAAGGAGCAAGATCAGGAGAATAAGGTGGATGAGGAATTTTCTCCCAACCAAGTTCTTCGATCTTTTGTGACATGATTCTTGCTGTGTGGGGTCACGCATTGTCCTGATGATACATTACCCCTTTTCGATTCACTAGAGCAGGTCTTTTTTTTCTCAAAGCTTGGTTCAAACACTCTAATTGCTGACAGTATATTTGAGCATTAATTGTTGCATTAGGTGGTAAGAATTTAAAGTGGATTATTCCTTGGCGATCCCACCAGATTGAAAGAAGAACCTTTTGCCCATGAAGTTCCCTTCTTGGCTGTGGCTGGGGTCCTTCCCCTTTACCAAGCCAAGCCACTGTCTACAACTCTTAACATTTTGATAAAAGATCCATTTTTCATCACCAGTCACAAGTCTATCCAAAAAAGGTGAAACAAGTTGGCGAGAATGGAGAGAAGAGCAGATGTCAACTCAGGATTTGAGGTTGTTTTCAGACAATTCATGAGGCACCCATTTTCCAAGTTTAGGAAATTTCCAAGTTGTTGAAGATGACAATGAACAGTTGTATGGTTTGAACTGAGAACCACTGCCAATTCCTCAACTGATAAAGCAGGATTCAAGGGCTGCTTCAAGAAGCTTTTCATCAAACTCAACTGGACGTCCGGTTGGATCTTCATCTTCAAGGGTGAAATCTCCACCTCTGAATTTTGCAAACCATCTTCTACAAGTTCTTTCATTCACACATTCCTCTCCATCAACTGAGTGAATGTTTCTAGCCGCTTCAGCTGCTGAGTTTCCTTTCTTGAACTCATAAAGCATTATGTGCCTCAAATGATTCTTGGGTACTTCCATGTTAGCAGGGTTTTAATCAAACAAAATTTAATTTTATTGTTCTCTGAAATAAAATTTGATCAGTTTAAATGCATCTAAACATAAAAATAATGTTCAGCTCCATTAGACATTATAAAATACTCTTTAAATTTTGTTCATTTTAACAAAAAGTTAAAATTCGGACAGAACTTATGGGATGACCTGATATATATATATATATATATATATATGATAAAATATAGTTTTAAGGTTTGCTATATTCATGGGTTAAAGTGATCAATATCAGGGAACAGCATATGTAGATATAAAAGTAAACATTTAGGTTAACACCCAGTGGTGACAGATTGTTTCATGGCTTGATAATTGTGTATAAGCATGAAAGAAATTGTCACTGTTAATAAGTTGATTTCAATGATTTATATATATATATATATATATATATATATATATATATATATATATATATATATATATATATATATATATATATATATATATATTATATATATATATATATATATATATATATATATATATATATATATATATATATATATATATATATATATTATATATATATATATATATTCATATATATATATATATATATATATATATATATATATATATATATATATATATATATATATATATATTATATATATATATATATATATATATATATATATATATATATATATAAGGGCTATATATATATATATATATATATATATATATATATATATATATATATATATATATATATATATATATATATATATATAATATGCCAAGGATTTTAAGGAAAAATATACTGACATGTTGAATTACTGGACACTAACATCTTCATTTGAACAAATAAAGTGCTCAATATTAAGAAATGGCGCCACAATAATTAAAAGATGCATAAAAGTTCATATGACTTTGTATTGAACAAATTTTAAATTTAGTTAATGTCAACAATAAAAATTTTTGTGTTACATATTTAAAATAAATAATAAATACAATATCTGAATTCAATACATTTATCTTACCTTAACAAGCAGGACTGTGTATCTGTGAATTTTCAAATCAGAAGATAAGTCAAATGAACTTTTATTTATCTCTCACTCACTCATTCGCTCTCTCTCCTCTCTCTTCATTCAAATATATATATATATATATATATATATATAATATAATATAATAATTGTTAATTGTGTACTAACATATCAAAAAGGAAGTGCTCAAAGTAAAATGTAAAACATGATACAGAACCTAAAATTTGATATAATAACAAACATTTCAGAACATGTACCACTCTGCTACTGAGTTTCATTGATTATAACATCTTTTGTATATGCTTCCTTCTTGCCCCCTGAGAATTGCAAAAAAAACTTTAAGAAGTTTATTCACAATTTTGATTTCTGATGTACATCTTATTTGAGAATTGGAAAAATACAAAAGAGAATTAAATAGACATACCTTGTCTGTTTAATTTAATAAATCTTATTTGTGCATATATGTGTGTGTGTGTGTGTGTGTATCAGTAGAAAGATTTTATTGATATAGTTATTGTCCTTTCTGTTTTTTCCACTCTCAGTAACCCCTTGCATCCTAATGGTTTATTGTTTTGATTTAGGTGAAATGATTTTAAAAATTGCTGACTTTTTTATATTGACCATTTTTATTTTCATATATAACACTGTTATATTAGTAATACATTAATATTGTCTGCCCAGGTGTAGTCAACATATAGCAGTGTTTGGGTAAACAAGTCACTTTGGTATAATTTGAAGAAAGTTGTCAAAGTGGTTTCTAGTGTATTCTCAATTACATTTTGAGCAGTATCTTCTGTGAAATATACACACTGGTCATTTTCAAGATGAACAGCTAGATTCACTACTGTTGGATGCTGCTTGTGGATTTTGAAAACCAGAATGCACTACATTGCCTTGTTAGAGGAAAGATATTTGCCCAACTGATAGATTATATATATATATATATATATATATATAGATAGATAGATAGATAGATTTCAATGCTGAATTGAGTGAAAGGTTTAAAAAGCAATTCTTTATTAAATTTTTGTCACAATTTCTTATTGTCTAATTAAACCGCCATAATTAAAAGTAAAACTTAACAGGGAAGGGTACATGGTTCATGCTAATTAAGGATATTCAGATTTTTTAAGAAGGATGTCTATTTTCAAAGTTAGATTTTTTTTTACACAGACAGTATATAGCACGAAAGTGTCGTGCAAACAGGTGTTTTATTCCACAAACAACAACAGCAACCACAACCATGATATGCCTTTTTAAAGGTAGGTTGAAATATGAAGTAAAATTTCTATTCACAAATAAACTCAATTTATATGTCATTTTACATTTAAATGACTGAATGGATTGAGCCAATTTCTTTGTATTTAATAAATTTGTATCTGGCGAATTTAATGATGTACATGACAAAATTTGAAATGAATTATTTTTTTTTTGCAATGTAAACACACCATAGAGATCATATTCAAAGAAAGATTATGCTGAATTAATGTTTTAAATAAAGATTTTATTTAGAAAATAACCTGTGATTCATTTAGAGTTTGTCCCCAAATTTAAAAAATTGAACAATTATCCCTGTCTGTCTGAAATTTTATAAGAGATATTGTTTCATAACATGTGTATCTTAATTTCTGAAAAGTTTGTGAGCAATTAAACAGCATTTCGTGTAAGACCTGGCAGAGAGCTACTATCTAGACGCCCTAGTAGTCCCATTATAGATTTTTATAAAAAAAAACAATGAGGCTTGTAACAAACTGGATGTTAGTTTAACATGTATGCAAAGTGTTGTGGATTCCAGGTTGAAATCCAGTACCAATAAATAACACCAGTAATGACTATATGAAAATAATGTATTAACATAATAATACAAACTGGTAAAGCAGGTTAGTAGTTCCAGGAATACGGGTTAGTAACAAAATATATATACAGTCTTTGGTATTGAAGTATTGCTGTATGACTTCTTAACTGAGTCTATGTGCTGGCTCACTGTTACTCCTACAACGCTGTTACCTCACCCTCACTCTCACTCTTCTGGTTACCTACAACCTTTTACTCTTTCACTCTGGACTCGACTCGACTCCGTTCTCTTGGGTCTTCCCATAGCCGTAGTCTAAGTATACACTGGGTGAGTCCATTTGTATAAAAAGGGGTGGACCCCTCAACACAAAGTTTCATCAATATTGGTTCATGGGTTTAGGTAGCAAATTGATTCAGCAAAACAGACAGAAATTTCCATTTATATATATATATATATATATATTATATATATATATTGGTCATGTGGGGGTGAATCTATGACAGAGTAGAAAAACTTTTTCATATCAAATGTTTCATTTTTTAGAACTTCATTTGTGTGTGTGTGTGAATGTAAAAGTTAGACTGAGCTGAAAAACAAAAGAAAAAACAAACTACTTTGTTTCATGAGAGAACCATTTATATAGTTATAATGTATATATTTATGTTTTCATTTTTTTTTTTTTTACAGGGAATGGTTGATGCAGCCCAATACATATATAAGAAGTTAAAAGAAGAAAATATTTTAGTAAAAGCATTTAATAGTATACTGGTAGGTACATTTTACAGTTTTGTATCATTTTCTTTCCACTTAAAATTTGATACCTGGAAAATATAGAACTTCTCATAAACAATTGCATGTGTTTTTTGTAATTAATGGTTGAACATTATTATGATGCAGAAATTGTTTTTACTGATTTTTAGAAAAATTATTACTTTGTTATAAAAAGGTGGTAGGTTCTGGAGGTGGGCAGCATTTAGGTGAATTAGTAATGCAGATGACACAGTATTGATAACAGACATGAAAAGAAAACTAAAATAACTCCTAGAGAAGGTAGTGAAGGAAAGCAAGAAAAAAGGACTAAACATCAACTACAAATAAACAGAATGCATGGTTGTTAGCAAAAAGATGAGCCCAAAAGGCAAATTACATATTGGAGATACCAAAATGAAACAAGTACAAAAATTTAAATATCTGGGAAATGTTTTAACAAAGGACAGAAAGTGCGATACTGAAATCCAAACCTGCATTGGGATAGCCAAAAATGCGTTCCAAAAGAGTACAAAGAAATAGAAAAATTTGGTTAGAAACAAAGAAATGAGTGCTTGACGGTTACATGATATCAGTCCTCCCATACGACAGTGAATACTGGACAATCTCCTCAGAGGGGAAAAAAACTTGAAGCAACAGATATGTGGTTCTACAGAAGAATGCTGAGAATACTATAGACCGAACATGTGAAAAATGAAGAAATTTTAGAGAAAATGGAAACAAAAAGGAAACTTATACTTAAGAGACAGTTGAAATTCCATAATGAGGAAATAGGGCTTGGAAAATTTGATACTCACAAGACAGATTGAAGGCAAGAAGGACAGAGGAAAGCAATGCATAACTTAGTTTGAGTAAATGAATGGCGAATAAAATTTAGGAGAAACAACAAAAAGACAAAGTTTATTAAGAGCTATGAAGGACATGAAATTGTGGAGAGCCATGATTGTCAATGCCCTGAAGGGACACAACACATAACAAAGTATGTTGAAGTAATATGTTGTTATGAAGAGGAGTGGAAAGTTCTACGATCACCCCGGGTCACAAAATCTCTAGGTAAGAATTTTGAATACTAAAGTTGAATCACAATTGACTGACATTGGTGCTTTTGATTTAGTAGCACCAGGAGATGAAGGTGTTGAAGCTTTAAAAGAGAAGGAATAATGGAGATTGATTTTTATTCATTAAACATGCTTCATATGGTGTTAATATATCATTGAGTTTTTCCTCAAGTTTTATTGCATGAATCGCAGGGTCTTCTTATTCCTCATTGTCTGCAAATTGTTTTGCATTACACATTGCATTGAGCTTTTTGATTCAAGTTTAAGGCTTATTGATATAACAAAAGAAGACTTCCAAAAGCTTATCGAAGTATTAAGAAACAGGAACATTTTGCTAGAAATAAAGAAAAGAATGTTGAACTGGTATGTAATATCAATTCTCCTATATAGCAGTAAATGCTGGACAATTTCCTCACAGATGAAGAGGAAACTCAAGGCAACAGATGTGGTTCTATAGAAGGATGCTGAGAATACCATGGGTGAAACATGTGAACAATAAGGAAGTTTGAAGGAATATGGAAATGAAAAGGACACCTGTATTTAGAATCCAAAAGTAGATAACTGAAATTTCCAGGACATAAAATAAGGAAAGAGGACACTCACAGGACATATTGAAGGCAAGAGAGGCAGAGGGAAACATTGAGTAACCTACTCATGGCATTGTGTAAATGGCTACAAGGATATGGGAGGAATGAATAAATTTTGATTAGAGCTACAAAGTCTAGGATGCTGTGGAGAGTCATGATTGTCCACATGTTCAACCAACATGGCATTATTCTTTCTCATCTTCAGAGTTAGAACAGAAAAATACTTTGAATTGAGATGCCTTTTTCAAAATAATGTTATCACATTGGGGTTCAAGACATTGCAGACTTTTGTGCTGAAAAATTCTTGGCCTGTCCAATTTCCCCAAATCTGACTAAATGTCTGAATATCAGAATTTATTTTGGAATCTCTTGTTAGCCAGGTCAAGAACTTTTCAGGGCCCCCTCATATATCCCTTCTTAATGAGTATCTTGAGTTGTGCAGGGAAGGCATTAGCAGTCTCAGGATCAGCTGAAGGAGACACACTTGTAATTTAAATTAAGGATGGAAATGCAACTCTTGAATTTGTTGGACTAGTTCTTGCTGACAGTAAATGTTTGTTGCTTGAAACTCTTGTACAGAAAAAGAAAATCATCTTAAAGTTCAGAAGCAAGTTTTTAGTGTGTTGATCTTTGATCCACATAATCTGAACATTCTACAACATCTTATCACATCCATAAGCCATTTATTTAAAAGCATGAATTAGACTAGTACTTATGAAATACAAAACCTACCATTGTATATGGGTGTTTTATTTTTCTAAATTTATCTAGAATCATTCAAATTTATCACTTTCTTGGCCCTTGTGATCTTTTGTTAGTCAATAGATACACTTTATTCAGAGCTTAATGTTAATGACCTGAACAATGGAATCAAAAATATGAATAAAGCCAAAAGGAAAATTTATGTTAGCCAACATGTTTCATCCTCTGAGTTACTTCTTACAAAATAAAATCCTTGAATTTATTTTGATAAAATCCTTCAGAGGATGAAACATGTTGGCTAAGTTTTTGTTTTGCTGTTATTCATATTGTCCTTTTACAGATGTACTCTATCTGAAATTTTACACATCAAAAATATGTATACAGTATTTTCAATAAGTATTATAATACAGATATACAAAAACACTGACAACACTGCTTTACTCAAATAAAGTTTACTACAAAACTGGAGATTTATCTATGGCATTGCTTATCAGTCCACCAAAGTTTTGATAAATTTTGTGAATGTTTCAAAGCCCAAATCAACAAATAAAGATTATGCAAATATAGAAACCTAACAGTATTGAAATGAATTTGCATAAATTTAATTTTATACAATTAAAAGGATATGTTTTATTAAATTAATTTGTGTAATTACTGAAGACTGATTTTCTCAGTGTCTTCATCTTGATTGTTATTATCACAACCTTTTGGCTTTTTGCAGAATTTTTATGAATTTCAAGCCAAACACTTTATTCAGTCCATAGGAGTAGATTGTTCTTATACAGCAGTTCATGCTAGAGGAACTCTCTTATCAGTATTTAGTTAATACATTCTTGAGATATCACTTATCCCTTCCTATGGGACATATGGCCAAGTGGATAAGTGTTGGTTAAGTGAGTCAAGTTACTTGGTGATTATAAATTCAATATCTGGGTTGGATAGTACAAGAAAGGAAGAAACAAATGACATCAAAGGAGTAAATTAACTGATAGCATGGACAGTGGAATGAAAACAATTTACCTCTTTTGATTGACTAAAGGGTTTGGTTCAATAAGCACCTGAAGAAGGTGCTTGCTAAACCAAACAAATTCAACAGTTGCATTTCCAGCCTTTTCTGTTTCTTTGTATAAATCATTATGCTTCTTTTTTATATACAAAGTGTTTGAGTATCATTCATTTGATAAATATTTTTAAGCTCAAAGACAATTTATTCATAGTAAACATTAGATAAAATGACTTTATAAAAATAGTTGGTTACTTTATCTTTTATTTATTTCTCTAGGAACAAGGAACATCAGAATATAAGTTAGTTCTGGTGGGTCATTCTCTTGGTGCAGGAACTGCTGCTATCCTAGCCATTCTCATGAAAAAAGAATATCCAACCCTGCACTGTTATGCATACTCCCCACCTGGTGGCCTTATCAGGTAAGATTAAGATTCAGGTGACATTTAAACAAGCTCCTGCAGAGGGATCTTTACTGGGCCTTCATCACAATAGGTAGGGAGGAGTAGATGTGATAGGCAACAATAAACTACAGAAGAACTCAAAATTGATCACTCCATTTAAGTATTACATTAATATTTAAGTTTACCTTTTAAAAGTTCAACAATAATTCTTCTGTCACCACTTAATTTAAAGACAATTTGATGTATGTAGGTCCTTACTTTCCATACAAACAATTATTTTTTATTTCATAGGTGATTTTCACTGGATTTTGCAATTAATTTTAATTATTCCCAAATTTATTTCCAAGTTATAAAAATTGTTATCGTACAAAAAAATTTGTTGCAAATATTCACATAAAAACAATCACAGTAATGAAAACTTGGGAATTCAAAATTTCAGGATTGCAGTCCATAACTGGCCTAGAATGTTCCTAATTTGCTCATAGAGTTGGCCTGATTCCAAAATGGTATATGATATGTTAGGCTATGGCCTCTAGGAGTAAAGTTGAAAAAATGTGATACACTGGCATTCACATTTATTATATAGATGAATAATAGGATAATTTACAAAACTATAAAGTTCTACTAAATAGATCTGTTGCAGGATACTAGTATACTTTAGTAGAAATAAGTCAACATTATGTTGTGGGTATCACTTCTTTAGTTGTGGTGTGTATAGGCATTTTATATGAAATATTTATGGGTTCCTGGAATATTTATCCCACAAACAATATTGTTAGACTGGGTAAAAAAGGTAACACAAAACAATGACTATAAAACAAATGACAATACATGTTATTAACAAAAGGAATTACATCTGTACATAATTGTAATGAAAGGAAAAAACATTAAAACTAAGAGTGCGCGCACGTGCGTGTGTGTGTGTGTTTTGTGTGTGTGTGTGTGTGTGTGTGTGTGTGTGAAACAAGTATGTGTGACAGACACATGTGTATGTGTGTGTGCGAGAGAGTTAAAAAATCAACAGAGGACCAGGGAAGTGAATGTGCCTATTCAGCAGTGTTCTTTATTGACATCAACCACATCTGGAAACAAGATTTAAAAAGAGCTAGAAAGAGGAAGAGTGAGAATATCATTCTTTTTATAGACTTAAAGAGTGCCCCCTAACGGGCATTTTGGCAAAGCCAAGTGGGATAATCAGTCAATATTCAGTTTCTTTTTAAAAAGCTCATGGTTTAAGGTTGAATTTAAAAGTGAATTGAATGTTCCAAATTATTATGTAAATTGAGGATTTTCATGATAAAAGTGAAAACTACTGAAAAATTAAACAAATACAAATTTTCTCTTTAATATTTTAAAGATTTCACATAGTTGCTTTAAATCTTAAATCATGCTGCATAGAAATAAAATTTGTTTTTCTTCCTGATGATTTTCAAAATTGTTTTTTTATCATATTTTTTGCCAATGAAAAGATTAATTTAGTCAAAAGATATTTTAAAAATTACTTTTGGAATTCTAATGCAGAATTTTTTATGAGATATGGAATAAAATACATGTTTCATGTTTTAAATCTGTGTTTTGTACTGTCAGAATTATTTAAAGTTTACTTTTTGCTATTTTAAAAATATTTTTTTGCTCTTATTAACATTCAGTTAGATCTTATTTTGTTTCCTATAACCATAACCCATTAATGCCCCCCATTCCATTTTAGGTTTGAACCTTTAATTTTTGATAAACCTATAATTAATACTTCATTTTTTATAATTCTATTATTAATACCATATTTTTTATAAACTTATAATTAATACTGGATTTTTTGAAAACATAATTAACACTGAATTTTTTTAGAAAATTATAAATTATACCAAATTTTTATAGTAACCTATAATTAATACCTGATTTTAAGTTTGAATTTTATTATTAATACACAGTTTTATAATGGGCATTAATGTGTTACAAAGACCGTCAGTTCATTAAGTAAAATGTATTTATAATATGAAGTCTGTTAAAAATAACTTCTATTAATTACAGGATTTTAAATTATTTTTATTATGTCTGTAGGATGTTCTAACATAATAATTGTTGAATTTTAATAGAAAATACACAGAATTTTAGCAAATAATTTAATCTTATTTCTTATTCAAGTGAGGAATGTGCTGAAGCAACAAAATCCTATATAACATCTGTTATTGTTGGAAAAGATATTGTTCCCAGGTAAGACATATTCTTTATAATTTTCAATCAATTCATCATAAACTATGTACAACATCTTGTTTAATTTCAAAAATGAAAAAATGAAGTTTTTCTATTCACATATACATAATGATACAGTAGTCTGTGATGAAGTATGCATGATTCTTACTGCTGAAATTTTATATTTTTTTTTACTGTTTTACTTATTTTCCTTTGAGAATAAATTTTACCTTTTAATCAATTTTATTTTTTTATAAAGTTAGTTGATATCTAACAAGTTAATCATACAGACCAGTTCACTAATGGAAAGAATTTGATCCTTGTGCCACACTTAAGTTTCCTCAATAGCCACTTGAGATTAGTTGTATGAAGGCAGTAGAAATAAAGTGAATAAATTTGTAAATAAACAAAATATTTAGGAATTCAATTACTTAAATGAACACAGTCGTGTGAGAGCTTCAAGCAGTGCATTTTCGTTAGTTTCTTTAAAACAAACTAAGTTAAACAGCAGCTTCTTCGGTTGTACAGATACACACTTTCATATTAACTTTAATTTAGTACCACAGGACAAAATGCATCCTATGGTAGTATATATCATGGACCAGTTAAACCTTCTATTCACTTATAGATTGATTATGTATGTACAAACAAGAATCTAGTATAAAAAAACATTAGCATTGTTGGCCTCAATTTTCCCTAGAAATGTTGTATTGACCAGCTGTTGTTATTCTGTATTTTGTTTTGATATCTACTCCTGTGATGCTGGATTAATGGCTTTATTACTAAGGCAGTTATTGAAAAACTGTTTCCTTTAAATTTGTTCAGTAGGAGATTTTTTTAACACCCCATTCTCTCCACAGCATTATCTCATTGATTAGAGACTACTTGAATCTCTGAATTTATTTCCCTAAATACTTGTATGCTGCCACAATTTTTATAAAGTGAAACAGCTGCTGTCACACATGACTGCATTCACTGTGTTTTTTTCTTACTGCTGCTGCTGTTGAAGCTTTGCTATCATGCCTCTAATATTTTATTTATTATTGGTCCCCCATATTGAGAAGGTTCTCATAATCTAGTATATGTGCTAATTCCTTCAGATGGCTAATGTTCCAGTGTTCTTCTTTGTTTATATTTCTATTTAATTCCACAGAGTAGGAATTGGTACCTTTATTTGTCCATAAATGGTCAGCCATGCCTCATTTCATTGTCTCACTCTTAATTGCAGCTTTTCAATATTCCTCCAGCATTACTTTTGGGGTTGTTTGCATTCACCTTTGTATTTTTTGTCACAACTGCAGGGGATGTAATACACGCAGTAGTTGGTCATGTTCTCCACTGTGTGGGGCTTTACAGGGTGAGCAATAATAAATACAAACAAGACTAAAATGTGAAACCTGTACTTTTCATAATGCTTATATAAAATCTAACAACTAATGTGACATTATATATATCAGCATTAGTTGCACATTAGCAACATCCAACGGAAGAAGAGAAAATTATTTATTTTCAATCTATATTGTTTATTAACATTTGTACAATGATAGTCTGTCTAGTTGCAATAATTAACATCTGAAATTAAAATAGAATTAATTTGAAAAATAATAATTGACAATGTTTATTCTAAGAAATTAAAAAACAACAACATTGTTTTACTTTCTATCTGAAATCCTAGGATTATTTATATGCAGACTATTGTCCTTATCACTGTTGTTATGTTTCAGCTGTTGTGCCCTCTGACGTTCATCTGGCTGAAATGTTGTAATAACAACACAAATAGTCTGCATGTAAATAATGTAATTAAGAGGGGGAGAAGAGTAGAAGTGATAGGCTGACACTAGGAAATTGGAAAACAGACTAGTTATGAAGACAGATGTCCTAAGCAGTGCAGACAAAGAGAGGCCATTATTGGCCAGGTAACTTTCCCTTAGGTAACATGTAAAGTAGAAACTTTACTTCTTCTTCAAAGTTTCCCTCTCTCTCAGACTAAAATTCTAGATAAAATTAAAACTCAAGATGTTTGAGTTATTTTCAGCAGTCCTACCAATAAGATGATGATTACTAGACTATAAAGAAGCATGAAAACAAAGCAGTTTATTTAAGGACACTTATATTTAAAATCAGAAAGAGTAACTGTATTACATTAAGTAAATAACTTAGATATTAAATGAAAATAAGTCTATTTTATTTAATACTAGCAGTAGAGCCCGGCGTTGCCCGGGGATGTAACAGTAAGTGATAAATCAAGTATTGACCATCATAAAGACTGAAAAATAAAATTGACAAAGATTATTGTTTAAGGTTGACGGGCATGCATGTCTTAATTAGTTTTTTTTTTTTTTTTTTTATGAATTGGTCAAACCCAAACTCAAACAAAAACATTGTTTTCAATTGTTATGAGTCTACCAATTGAATAAAATTTTATTATAAACAATTGTCTTGTAAATGGAATTTTTAAAGCATTCTGAATGTAAAAATAAAGGAAAAAATGTGCAAGACAATAAGAAACACTACCTGCCAAAAAAAAAGTGAAGTTTTGTTGAAATCGGTTGAAAATGTAGGAAATCCGATCCCATATATAAATGAACACACACACACACACACACAAACAACCTGGGTTTTATAAGTATAACTCGATATGAGTTGTCCCCCTTTCATTCTTGCGACAGCGATGCCTCTTAATTGTGTTTTCAAATTGATTTCATGCAAAAATAATTGTGTTTTTCCAATTTTTGGCGCTGTCAGAACCACCGCAAGGTAATTTTACGTAGTCCTGTGAAGTTTTGTTGAAATTGGTTGAAAAGTGTAGGAAATCCGATCCAATATATGAACAAACAGACACACACACACACACACAACGTGGGTTTTATAATAAGTATGATTTTCCTATTTTCCTGCATTTTGTTTATAAATATGCTGTAAAACTATATTCTTACATTTAACCTGCAGGTTTTTATCAATAACAAATTCTTTCACTCTCTGTAAAATCCCTTGTGTCTTAGTTTGGGGTGAAATGAATAAAAAAAAGAAAAAAAATAGTTTTGTATATCACTATTTGTTTTGATATAAACAACCTTCTTTTATTAATACAAAACTATTCTTTGCTATTGTCAAAGGAAATTGATTCTTTGCAAGAAAAGGTGAGTGTTTGTGACAAATTATCTCTAATAAATTATACAGCAGATGTGGCATGAATTTTCAAATTACATTTTTTTATTATATTTAATCATTGGAAATGACAATACTGATAAATGCAGATAATACTGAATCTTATATTATTAACCATTTTTGATTTTTCATAATTTTTAGAAAAAAGATTTCAATGAACCACAGTGTGTATTGATCAATTTTTAGAATATATACAACATATATGCCAGCATATGTAATTGTGTGAAAAGGTAACAAAATTGATATGTGGTTTTTTTTAGTTGTTGGTAAGGATAGGAGTTGACAGATTTGTTGTGTTGGTTGACCAAGGTCACATTGATGATGACGAGAGAGTCCTGAAGTGGATTAGTGAAGCCATGTGATAGCATGAGTAGGGTATCATTGGTGAGGTTGATTTGTCAGGCTTCATCACTGAAATCGACAGTTGAGGTGTGTGAATGGGCCAGTAGTCGTGTAATTAGGTCACGTTATTGAACTGAGCTGCCTGTTGTCGGTGAGCTATACTGTTTTTTATATCTGTGATTTAACAGGTGCTGGCTCCCAAGCAATGTTCATGATTGGGTATTGTATTTTAGATTTTTGCAGGGATTTGTTTTTTTTTTTTTTAATTGGATGTGATGTTTGGAGCCCCTGTGAAGAAGATAACTTTTGCAGGTGGGGTTGCATGCATATCTGGCTGACATTGCTAGTGAAATGTTTTTGTGAATCAAAAAGAGATCTTGATTAAAGTACTATAACAACAAGCACTATTAATGTACAATATACTTTATATAATATACATTTTAGTAGACAACATATCTCTTATGATATGGCAATCATTTTATGAATTCTAATGGATTTTCTAAGCTTTCATGTTTCTTGTAGCTTCAGTAACTTGGCTAATATTGAACATAGAATAGACTGCACTAGAGATAGTTTTGCCCAGCAGTGCAAACTGCTACAAAACCAAAATATTAATCTGAAAATTCTTAGATGTACTTAAATAGTTTCATCAGATCAAAATTTTCATATGAATGTCATGCATGGTGCCAAACCTATTCAGAATTTTCTAAACTGTCAGCTGTATACAACCACTTTCTAAGATCAATGGTTAAAAATGGCTTTGAGCAAGTGAAGTCTGTGGGTCTTGGTGAAAACTATCCTCCTTCAAGTCTTGTGGACTAGTGCTACAGAATCATAAACAAAGACCTGTACCAAATAACAGAAACTACTTTGAAGGACTTTCAACAACAACAACAGCTAATGTAGTGATACTAGCAAATTAGTATGCATAATTTGCATAAGCACAAGTGAACACTCATATAAGTGGTCACTGAGAATAACGAATAGAAGTACGAGCTTAGTGGCTGATTAGTGCTAACTTCAACTTCACAACAATGGCATCGCCAATAGGATATCAATTGTCTCTGGAAGATCCAGATTTCGTGGATACATGGATTCGTCGTTTCTCTGGCACTGTGAGAACAAAAAAGTTGAAAGAAAAAGGAGGCGAAAATGAAATCACAGATTTATTTTTGGCTACAGCTGGATGCGAGGCGATAATGAAAGTCTCCACCATGGCATATCCCTCAAATTTGGAAGACCTGACTTTTGAAAAAATAAGTCAGATTATAAGAAGAAATATGATACCCAAGAAAAGGCTGGTAGTGGCAGAAAGAACGAAATTCATGTCGATGAAACAAGAATTTGACAAACCAATTATAAAATATTTACACTGTCTACGAAATGCAAGTAGATATTGTGAATTTGAAAAACTTGGACAAGATGAACAGATTATTGAAGAGGACTTGATTCAATTAAGATTAATTGAAGGTATGTGCAATGCACCACACCGATATAAAATAATGGAACAA